TTGCAATTTTTGTTCCCCCGCCATTTTTCCCCTGCCCGCATTTTTCCCCTCCCCTCCCCTTCCCGCACCCCCCCCCCCCGCTGATCCCATCCACCCCTCATGTCGTACGGCGATGAATCCATCTCCGCCTCCTCGCTCCCCCCGTATGGCACCTTCGACGATGACCTGAACGCCTCGCACGGCACCCTTCCCCCATGGGGCTGCGACTATGTCCTGGTCTTCCCCGCCCGCCGCGAAGCCTCCCCCACCACCATCGATTCCTCCTTCGCGGAAGTCGACGCCGCACGCGTCGCCATTCTCGCCTCGCTGCGCGACGCCTCCTTTTCCTACTCGCAAGTATGGCTCCCGTCCGAGGGCCTCCTCCTTCTGCGCATCGCCCTCTCCCCGGAGGCCATGTTCGAAAAGGCCTCCCGCAGCGCCCTGCGTCTCCGCCTCCTTCCGCGCTACGGCGCAGGCTACCTCGCCTTCGACTCCGACCGCGCACACGTCTACGACTATGCCCTGCGCGCGGATCGCGGCCTCCCCTACTTCCCGCCGGCCGCACGCGTCCAGCTCACGCTGGCGACGCTGCGCTCCAGGGAGCCCTGGGGCTGCGGTTTGCATCTCGCCATGCTCAAACACAAGGGCGTGTTGAAGCACTTCTTCGCCCCGCACGATCGCCCAGAACGCGACCGCCTGTGCGATACCGCCGTCTCTGCCCAGCGATGGCGCTTGCGCTTGCGCCTCCCATTGGACGACTTGAACGAGTACCTCGGCTCCCGCGTCGCCATTTACCTGTCCTGGTTGAGCTTTTATACCAGGATGCTATTGGGCTGTGCCCTGTTTAGCATTCCCATATTCGGCATTTCGCTGCTGCTCAGGGATGGCAACCACCCAGACTTGCTCGCCTGGACGAGGTTGCTGTGGGGACTCGGCTTGTGCTTCTGGGGGACCTATTGGCTCGACTATTGGAAGCGCAGGAACGCCGTGCTCAACGTCAAGTGGGGGTTGGACAAGTTCTACGAGGACAACGAAAACGACATTCGCGCCGATTTCGAAGGCGATGATAGGCAAGGTTTTTATTGCCGCGGCGGGTTTGTCAACCTGGAGGATCTTGATCCGGAAAGGGCGGCTGCGGACGATTTCGAACGCGCCAGAGAGCCGGGGCTGCGATCGAGGATCCGCGGGCAGCTGCTGCGAGTGACGGGCGCGCATGCCGCGTTCGAGCCGAGTGGCGAGGACGTCATTCGGATTGGCGGCGGGAATGACCCAGACTTTGTGCTGGACGCCCCGATTACGGGCTTGACCTTCTCGTCGTTGCCGGTCTTTCCGTATGCCAGTAAGCGCGACGTCCAGCGACGCGTTTACATCAGCTCGTTGGTCACCCTGTTTTCGCATCATGTGTGGGCGCGTGCTCGTTTCTGAACCTCTTCTTCAAAAAATCCATTGCCGGCCTTTTCGGCTCGCATGCGTTTGCCAAGTTTGCCCCAGGTATGGCACAGGCGGTGATCATTTCAGTTGCAGACCCTCTTTGGAAGCGCGCTACGCTCAAGCTGTCAAAGTGGGAGAATCATCGTACGACTCAGGCGTATGAGAACAGCATCATTACCAAGCGATTTGCCTTTCAGTTTGTGTCCAGTAAGTTTGATGCGTCTTTGCAAGCACATCCAATCCGATTTTGAAAGTTGAACAGACCTTGCTGACCACTGCGACAGACTACATTACATTGTTTTATATCGCGTTTGTCAAGCCATTCACGCCATCAGACCCTTGCCTTTTGGATGCATCTGGAGCTCCGGACTGCATGGTTGAGCTTGGGATGCTGCTCACTTCATTGCTCATCACAAAGGCGACGGTGCAGCAGTTCATAGAAGTAGGGATGCCATTTATCAAACTGCGCGTCACTCAGTGGCTGAAAAGGAGAGAGCATCGCGAGCTTGTTGAAGAAATGGACACGACCCAGCGCATACAACTGTTCGCGGCAGGCGCTACGATTGACGATGCAGACACGCAAGATCTCGTAGAAGAGTTAAGAATGCCTCCGTATCGGTCGACGGTTGAAGACTATGGAGAAGTTGTAATTCAACATGGTTTTCTAGTGATGTTTGGCATCGCGTTTCCGCTCGCAGCACTGATTAACTTTCTCAACAATATGGCGGAATGCCGCACGGACACATACAAAATGCTCGCCGTACACCAGCGACCGGATGCTGATGATGCAGCGGACATAGGAGGATGGTTGCCCGTACTGAAAGTTTTGTCCACTGCATCTATCGTGACCACGGCTGCTCTCGTTACTATTACGACCCCAGCACTTCAACTGGCTCTCCCGGATTTTATCGGTAACGTTGGAGAGCGGTATCCAGCGGTCTCTTTCTTGATTTTCGAACATGTCCTGTTGTTAACGCGATGGGTAGTGGACTTTCTGGTATCTGACAAGCCATCGTCGACCTACCGAATGCTTGCTCGACAAGAGTTTCTCATCGCCAAATGCTTCAATGTTGGTATGCAACCTTACTTTGAATCATCCGCTCACGGTATTAAAGAGGCATGACGTCCTATCGGCAGATAAGATCAAGTATGTTCTCCGAGCATCTGCGCAAACGCTGCGCCTTGGCCGTGAGCCAAGATTTATTATGCAACTTCAAGATGGTCTTCACTAGCATTTACTGTTACACTTACTGCGTACACATTAGGCTCAAAAACTATTAGACAGAGCACCTTCGTAAATTCCTGCAGGCAAGCATTCGTGCTGGCTGAATGTTTTTCTGTATGCCGGGCAACAAAAAAGCCATGCGATTTGCCCATGTGGGTAATTTGGCCCGCAAAAAAACACGATTGGAACATTTCGCGACAAAAAGAGCACGTCCCTTTTCGGACAAGCTTCGCGAATTTAATCAAACGCTGTCTCTTTGACCTTCTTGTGGGTTACGCATGCGTGGCCTTACAGGAACTTGTCTTCTTCAGATAAGGATGCTTTTAGGGCTCAATAAGAATAGCATGGGCCAGTTAGTGAACGTATTTGGCTGGCACCCCAACTATGACATTGCTTCCAAGTGGCATCGCATCAGTTCTCATATCTTCTACAGTCACAGTTTGGGTGAAGCAATGATGTTGCTCTTCTGTCTCCACCCCTATGGCAGGAAGGCCGCCAATCCATCTATTGCGGTGTTCCTACCATGACAGCGATCACCACCGCAACAAAACGAATGCTATGTTTGCGACCACGTGATGTTATAGCCCGACTTCCATGGTTTCTACTGCTCATCGCCTACTTTATTTTCCATCTCTCCCTCCGAAATCAGGAGAAAGTTGATTACCTTACTCCAAAGGCAGCATCGGCACCAGAGCATATCACAGATGCGTTACGAAAGCAACTTCTTCGTATTCGCGATGTGGAGAACTGGCACGTAATGGGCGACGTGAACAAAACTGGCGAGCAGATGTACGAGGATGTTGGAGAAGGGCAAGGTGAAGAGGCCAACATTGCATTTTTCATTCAAATATCCCCGACCAACGTCATCCTTGTTCCGCGATTGCTCTCTCGCATCTGGCATCCGGATAACATCTACTGCCTTCACATTGACGAAAAGCTCGAGAACGATGCATTGGTCGATTTCAAGGAAGCCTTGGCATCCAACTCGAAGCTTTCAAATGTGTTTCTGTTGCCATCAACTTCGATCACCTATGCCGGTGTTTCTATGCTCGTAAATACGCTGGATGGAATGCACTCTCTTCTTCAGTCAAAAAGTTTGTGGGACTATTTTATCAATTTAAGCGGATCGGACTATCCACTCATCTCGATAACAGCGATGCGAAGACTACTTGGAATGCCATCGGTGAAGAATCACTCAACGAATTTTGTTCACTACTCGACAAACGTTGCATCGTGGGAAGAGATTGCGCGTCATAGGCTGGGAATTCTCCACTTCGACTTTTCTCTCGGATTTCGTTCCAATCATACAATCCAGCTGGCCGAGTCTCGTATGAGACACCCCGTTCTCTCTTCCGGCAATTTGAAAGTCATAGTTGCCAAAGGAGAATCGTGGATCATGGTGCATCGATTATTTTGTGAGTATGCCGCCCATGGGAATGTCGCACGCCGCTTGCTGGCTCTATTCGCAAACATGCAAAGTCCATCAGAGCACTTTTTCCAAACTCTCGGGTGGAATCACCTGCAGTTGAACAAAACTCTTGCCACGCATTCATTCAGAGACGTGGTGTGGAAACACGGCGGCATTCGAAGCATACAACATCCATATATCGTCGACAAGCGAGAGCCGAATGGTTTTTGGCCCTTTTGGGACGACATTGCTCTCTCCCCGAACTTTTTCTCGCGTAAATTTAGCATCCCAGACAGCCCCATGCTGGATCAAATTGATTTGCTGAAGAGCGGCGCAACCGAAAAGGCTGCCAACTTGACGGCAGTGTATCAGTCCTTTGCGATTGTCAAAAATAGGTTTGCTTGTGTCACGGAACATGCGAGGAGTCGCAAACATCCTCATATCATGCCGTGCTTTTTCAGTGGTTGGATGCAAAGGGGCTGCAGGGGAGGCCAAACAGAACTTTGCGCCTCAGATGTTCCACCACCAGCCTCTAAGACCAAAATATTTTCAACGCCGTGGAAAAAATAGGGTTGTGATGGCGCTTCAAAGGCACGAGGATTTCTGTTATTGATGAACTATATCAAAGAGTTTTGGTGCGTGTGACTTGTTGTATTCTCGCTGTTGCACGAAAACACCAGATGTCTTGTTTCGAAAACTTCTCATAAACCGACGACGTTTTGCAAGATCTCCGGCTATTTGTCAGATCTTGCTAGTTTGAGATAGCTCCCATCAGCTTCATCATTTTATGACACATTCAAGTTTTCTATTCTTCTTGGAACTATTCTTGATTATTCCGGCAACTCATCACATTAAGAAATCATTGATTGCTTTTCATTCTGTCCATGGTCATCCCTCTTCTAGTCATTTGTATATGGACATGTTACATGAGAAGGACTGCTTCGACTTCTGCCTGCTATCACGAGCTGGCCTGTTCTCAAGCAATACCACATATGCAACAGAGTCGAAATCAAAATAGCCTCACTCATTCTGTCTTGTTCAGATAATCGCGCATCACCAAATCATACTCGATAAGCACAAGTGTGCACCAGCTTTAACGCGAACCAAGGGCTGACGAAAAGAGCGTTCAAAATGAATGGTGTTTCTCTATCCCCGCAACGCGGACAGCGAATATAGATAAGACTCTAAAAGGAGTGTCCTGACCCTTGAGCCACATGGTTGCTTCCAGTTTATGTAAACTCCACATTTGTGTGCAAGAAGGGAATTCCTCTCCTTGCATTTGCGCGGATCGATATATATAGAATGGAAATGGAATGGTGAGACAGAGAAGTGGACTAGTTTCGTTGAGTAGTTGATGAATATTTGGGTCCGATACGGCTCTGTATCGCATGAACAAACAGCCAGACCGAGCAATGCGGATGAGCATTGCGTCAGTCGGGTCCCATCCTTGTGGGGTTTGTTTGGGCTTTCGTGATATGAGAATACATGTTATAAAAGGATTTAAGCATGCATGGGATGAGATGGGAGTTGATGGTTGGT